TGCCTGGGGTTCAAATTGCCTTCACACACAAGGGATGTTAGTGTGTAATTTTATTTCAGCCTCACCGTTACAACTCTCTCTCCTGACACTGTATCAGAGCTGGATTAAGTTACTGCTAATGCAAACCAAACATTCATGCTGCTGCTGCTGCTGCTAGTTTACATTAAAACCATTTGACAGACAGAATATGAGGTGGTTTATTGTGAAGCAGCCACAGAAAATAAGCTGCATTCGTCACAGAGATCAGTGCTGACAGCAATCGTCAATCTAAAATGTGTCTTCAAAACAAGACCTGATCATTTTACCACATTTAATATATATAATAACATTGTGGTGAGTAATAAGAGGAGGGGGCAGCCACAGTGAGCTGCAGGCAGAAAGGTTGCATGCCTCCAACTACAAAAAAAAAACAAACATCTGCGGCATGAAACCAGTTCATGGTTCAAGTTACTGAGAAAATTATTACATCAATGAGTGTCTGTTTGGCTGCACTGTAACAGACTCACTGATTGCTTTTCTGTTGCACTTCTGATAAAGAAGCTGCTCAACAAGTGTTTTCTACCCCCCAGAATTCTGGGACATGTAGTATCAAACTACACTTGCAGTTTCCGCAGTCATCACGAGTGTTGCCAAAAGCAACCAGGACCGAAATCCCACAGATTATAACTTCACAGACTGGCAGGCCGCCTGCAGGCACATATGCCACACGAGTCTCATTCTCAACAGTTTCACAATCACCCACACTGCGAGTCCCCTCGGTTTAACACATTAGATCATGAACTGTTCTGGAAATAAACAACGAGCTCAAAGAAACTATGAGCGTAACTAATCAATATTATACCTCTGTAATCACTTTGTATTTCTCTGATTTCGTTCATTAGCTCTACACAATTTATATTTTATAAGTTTACTGTCACTGTACCCTGCCACTGATTTTTACATATAACAAACTGATATATGTAATTATGTTTCAGTTACCTAAAAGTTTAAACCTGTTGTTAAAAATAAACCAAACAGCCACAGATGTGTAATGTAAGCTATTTGAAGAAGTGGATTGCAGTTTTGATGTAACCTGATTTTAAACTTTCCTCCTCTGCCTCTCTTGTCCTTTCAGCACAGCTCTTCTTTTTATTCAGCTCTCCTTCTCTTCGTCAGTCACCCTCTCACTCTCCTGCCCCCCTCTTTCTTTTATTTGCCTTTATTTTCCTTTTGTCCCCCCCCCTACTTCTGACCTAACTAAAAAGCTGTGCGCACAGCCTCACAATGAAGTGCGTTTCTTTCAAATGTTAATGCTTTTTACTCACGGCTCAGTGCACAGCGCAAGGCAAGAAACAGACCTGGTCAGGAAAAACAAGACTATGTACAGACACACACAGACACACACACATACACATACACACCGCAGAATGGCTAAAGTTACAGTGAATCCAAATGAACTGCCACTGAGTTGCCTTCAGTTGTGATGATGAACTAAGAAACCCAACAGAGTGAAAAATGAGAAGCACAGAATTTAATAAGAAAGAAAGAAAGAAAGAAAGAAAGAAAGAAAGAAAGAAAGAAAGAAAGAAAGAAAGAAAGAAAGAAAGAAAAACTAATATTACAAATGGAGACAACGATGGATCTCCACAGGCTTTTCATCATTCATGACCATTCCTGTGTATCACACAGGAAATCTATTACACATTGAGTGTGTGTGTGTGTGTGTGTGTGTGTAGGCCTCAGACTTGATTGTAAGATTTGACAGAGGGGAAGAAAACAATCTGCAGGATGGTAATACGTGTGAATCTATTGATATTCATGCTGCTTTGTCAAATGTGAGTGGGAATAAGTCAGATAAACTAAATCTCACGGCTGCACTGTGTGTGTGTGTGTGTGTGTGTGTGTGTGTGTGTGTGTGTGTGTGTGTGTGTGTGTGTGTGTGTGTGTGTGTGTGGCTCGAGTCATTGCATTCTCACATTCAACGCTGTGTGCAAATACTTTATTTAAGTGGATGTTCAGACCCATGAAAAGCGATTAAGTTCATGTAATCACAGTTGTTGCACTAACTCGATTCTGTTTGGGGTTACATATTTCATTTTAATTGATTTTAATACAGTGAGCTTATTTCATACTTACTCAATGTAAGTACAAGAATGTAAGGACTATATAATGACTGATGAATGAATGATAAATGAAGAATAATAAATCTACTCTTCCAAAGCACATTGAGCGAACATCCCTGAAGAGAGTTTGACAAGAGCTGAAGTCACGTGTCTGTGTCAGTCCAGCGGAAGGTTCCTTCAGTTGGGCTCAATGATATGCGAATAAAATCATATAGCGATTATTTTAGCAGATATTGCGATTGTGATATGAGTCACAGTTTCAGTTGGAAGGGACGAGCATGATCCTTTACATCTGGAGAATATCATTTGCAGGCCAGCGCGTCTCTGTAGCAACACAACGCTTCATTTATGGTCTGCTGTGACACATATCACCTTTATCAAAAAAACTGCACCCCTTCGATTTGGACGTTGCATTTGCTATATTGCAATTTCAATAATATTTCAGTTAGTCGGAGGCGACCTGATAACTGAGTGGTTACAGTGCATACCACATGGCCGCATGTGCTCTGAGCAGCGAGTCCCTGGTTCAACTCCCAACTGTCCGGGCTCTTTGCTGCATGTCATTCCCCTGGTCTCAGTTTCCTGTCACTCTACACTGTCCTATCAAATAAAGGCTTACAAATGCCCAAAAAATTACTTAAAAAATAATTAAAAATGAATTGTTCAGGCATGGTTTTGTGGGGATTTTTAGAAATATGGGTGAAGGAATGATGACCAAAAAAAGAATCTTTCAGGTAAATGAAAGAAAATAAATACATAGTGTTTATCACAACTCACACATCATTTCCTTTTTTGCATTTTGGCTCCTGTTTGGTTTTTGAGTGACGGAGTGACATTGACTGTGCGTCTTTGCAAAGGCTTTTTTTCAAGCAGCTGAGAGCTGGATGTAATGTACGGGAGAACAGTGTTACCAACTGCCTGCTCAAAATCTCACTAGCAGTCATGTTATGGGAGCCGACACACATACAGATTAAGCACCATTCTCTCACCCCCAACTAATTATAGAATCAGGCTGAATCTCCACCAGATCGGCTGTCATTTGACGGTCAGTTTAGGGTGAGGGGGTGAGGGGGTGAGGGGGGCGCGGGGGGGGGTTGGGGGGGGGGGGGGGGGGCGATTTCCAGTAGCCGTCTGAACTAATTGCCTGAATGATTAAAGATCTGACTGTTGGAAAACTGATGAATCTCTGATATGGCAGAAAGTTTGGTTGACCACCATCTTGCACTTTGAGCAGCTCTGTGGTCAGATGGCTGCTGTCGAAAGATCTGGTATAGACTGCAGCGAGCTTGTTTTTATGTAGTTGATGTTTAAGCATTTAACATGTTGTGGCTATTACTGTAATGATGTACATGATTAATAAAAATGTACAGTGTCCTAAAGTTACTATAATCACTGGGTCTCCATACCTGAGACCTTTATCAATCTGTTTTTATTCACTACAGGTTTAATGCATCAGCTGCAGCTAAAAGTGAACAAACCATTATCAACAGCCTCGCAGCCAATAAGCTGCTGTTCTGCTTCACAGTCATTCTACAGGAAGTTGTATTTTATACTTTGTATTGCATCATATTATGCGACTCAAAGGACACGTGTCGGTTATCACCAGCTATCCATTTGGGTGCAGGTTAACAGGTTTAGCAGCTCTGTGTTTAGCTCACTGGCGACCTGTTGAGCTTGATCGCTTGTCCTGATTCCCCCCTGACCAGTAAGGAGCTAATGTCTCCCTCTGGGACCATTACTGTCTTTGTTTCTGTGGGACCACAGCTTAGCGCAGCAGGGGCTCAGTGCTGAGTTAGCTGATGTCGCCTAACCATATGGTCTGAGGCAGATCAAGGCTCTCCCACAGGAGATGTTAATGGATAAATCCTTCGGCTCATGTGATATTCAGACTGATATTTAACAGTCTGATGTAGCTGTCTCTTGTATTGTCTGCTTCAGGAAGTGTCTGTGTGGCTTTGAAAGGTAAGCAGAGCCACACAGACTTTCCAACTTAAGCTTCCCGTCACTGATTGATGGTTAAATCAAATTTGAGTCATTGAAGAACCCAGAGAAACAGTTCTGTTTGCAGTGTACAGCAGTCTTATTTTATTCTACCTATGTTTTATTGCTTCTTTATTATTATAAAGTGAGTCAATCCCCATAGACTCCCATGTTAAAATGTCCAACTTTAAAGCAGAAACAAACATGTTTACAGCCTGGTACAAAAACAGTTCTGGTCTCTACAGCTAATTTCCTCCTTCATGACAACTGTAAGGGGAGTCAATTTTTTTTATAACTCAACTATTTAAATTTTATTCAGGCTTAATGTTCTGAATAACTGAGGGCATGGCCAATTTGAGTGACAGGTGGGTGAGTGTGAGTATGTCTGCCACAAACCGGCATCTTAGTTCCACATTCCCCTCCTCTTTGCCCATTTTTAGATTAACCAGGAGTCAGGGGCAGAGTCAGGCACTGGTAAGATGGCAACGGCGGAGCAGCTCGCTCTGAGCTTCAAAACTGCTCTTCAGAAACCTTTGGCTTTGTGCATCTTTATTTAAAGTCTCAGCTAAATACCTGTATGATGTACTATGTGACTGTAGCAGATGACTTAAATATTAAGATACTAACAGTCACACCAGCAATGATATGATTTTACAATTTTAGTAGTTTTAGTTTTCTATTGACTGATTTCTTTTATTCTGGATTTATTCTTTCACTCACTACAAAGGCCTGTTGCCGCCTTTTTCTCTGTTGGGCACTCCCAAAATTTCCACTTCCTCTCACAATAACACTTCCACTGAAAACACTGTAAATCTGTGTAATCTGGTGTGGCAAAGAGCTTACATCACATGACACTTGAACGTCTCTCACAATTACAAGGACAAGAAATCAAAACCATAACGAGTGGCTCTTACAGACCTGAGTACGACCAGTCGATGTCTTCAGGGAGTTTCTTCAGGCCTCGGAGCAGCGGCTCTGCGGCCACAACTACAGGAGAGAGAGACAGAGATTTCTTAGTGTCATTTTGCATTTTCAACAACTCACAGACTGACAGGTGAAACCATGACCAGAGCAGCTGCTGTGTGGCACTGACATATGATAAGTGGCAAGTTTTTCTGTCATGGGATACAACTGTTCAGCCTGTTAGGAGAGAGACCGACTTCTCCTCTCTGACTGAAAGGAGCCAAACATGCTAACACTGTCATATATGATGTCAGTGTTGTATATATATATATAACAACCAATCTTCAGCCTATGTGAGAAAAGCTACATAAGATAAGTTCCTTATCAGTCCTGCAGTAGGGACATTTGCATATTTTACAAATGCCATATATATATACCAAAGATGGCGACTAACATAGTGTTCTGTGTTCTAGTGTTTCTTTCTTTCACAACTTTTTTCAGCTCCACTGTACATGAAGTGGATTTTTTTTTTTTTTTTTTTACATTTTTTCCCAAAGGTGAGAGTGAAATCATTTCTTAGCAACACATACAAGTTTCTGAGTTGTAGCAGAAATGCAACACTAACCTCTGGTCTCTCTGACAGACAAACACCCATTCCCTGGCCCCTTACTCTAACCTTAACCATCATAACTGAAGGCCTAACCCCAACCCTCTAACCCTGCAACCAAATCTCAACCCTCAAACAGCCATTTAAACTTGTGGGGTCCATATTTTGGTCCCCACAAAGCAGTCAAGCGTATAGTAATTATGCTTTAGCTTTAGTATCAATTAAACCTGACCTTAACCTCAAAACATGTCATCACCTTAGAATTTAATGATTTCCATTATGAGGCCGGTTTTTTGTCCCCATAAGGAAGACAAGGCCCCATGATGTGAGTGTGTAAACAGAAGTAGGCCCCCACAACATGAGTAATACCTGGATCACACACACACTGCATGCACACACGGTACCAACATCATTTGTTATCACCACACAGTTCACCACTTTACAGGGTGCAAGGGGCACTACATCACCATTAACCACTATCATTATTTTCAAACACCAACACCACACACACACACACACACACACACACACTATCTATTTCATGGTAGTAATTTTCACTCAGGGACAGTAGAGGATACACTGATGTATGAAGTCACAGGTTGAGGAATCAGTGTGTGTGTGTGTGTTTGTGTGTGTGTGAGAGAGAGAGAGAGAGAGAGAGAGAGAGAGAGAGACAGAGAGAGAGCGCTACTCATCTAACTGATTCTTGCACTATCTGAATCTATCTGTTCACTAACAGCTTTGTGTCCCTCTCTAGCTCTCCACTCTTACTCCTTGACATATGACACTGAATAAACACACAAACACACATAAGCATAGCTCTCTCTTCCTCTACTAAAGTCAGTCTCTCTCTCTCTCTGTTTTCATTTTCTCTCTCTCTCTCCCACTCTTTCTCTTCCTGCTAACCTTAACTGGAGTGAGTCAGTGCTGTGTGTAATGGTCAAAAATGCGATTACAAAGAATTCACTGTATCTTTATAAAAAGACCTCACAGATGGTGCTTTTTTCCATAGCTGGCATGAACACTGTGCTAACCAGTATTTTTAATCCTTTAAAGGTCCATATAGTATAAAGGTAGATGTCCATGTGTTGTTTGATTATAAAGCAGGTCTAGGTTCTATATTAATACTGTGAAAGTATCAAAGCCTCAGTCCACAGAGAAATGCACACAGCCTGTATTCAGAAACTGAGCCTTAAAACCAGCCGTCAGGACTTCTGTAACTTTGTGATGTCACAACAAAGCAGTCACCACTCCCAGCCACACCCCAAGCCCCGCACACCTGGACCCATCATCCAACCCTGCAGGATTTTGTTTCTCTGAGTGTTTACCTGAAATCCGCTAAATTTTTATTCGACCACTCCAAAAACAGTCAGCCAATCAGAAGAGAGGCTCAGAGCCTTCTCTCTTCTGATTGGCCTGTTGTTACTGGAGCTCCAGAGAGAAGCCTGAGAGAGGAGATGTAAAACTACATTGAGATGGTTTTTGATTCTTAAAACCACAAATATATCTTCTTATGGATCAACACTTCAAATAAAACAAGGGAAAAGTGTAAAATATAGGACCTTTAATTTGTATCTGATTTGTAGCTAATGGCAGCAACATTATCAAGTGTTACGCCTTGATGAGAACGTCATTTATCCAAATATCCCAATATTAACACAATAACCCTGCCAAGATTTCATTCTCATTATAATGACACAAACTGAAAACATGCTTCATATGTTTTAAAAGTTTTAATTGTGTTAGAAGAGTGACAAACTTCATCCTCAGCATTTTAATTTTGAGTTTTTGCAGTCTAATGTACGCATATGTATTTACAGTGATACCGTAAAGCACTTTAAACATAGACAGATAGCATATCTTGTTTTTTACGTGGAGTTAAAACTAGCAGGCACTTAGACAACTGCTGCACTACCCCTATATAGTGAGGAGGGGGGAGCATTGGTCACATGCTAATACAGATTACAATAGAAATAAGGGGGAACTAGCATTAAACAACACAAATAAACAAAAAGTAAAGGCAATAAACCAATTCATCCTTCTTCTTTTTTTGTGTATCTGCTTACAAACACAGTAAATCACAAACCTGTCCTCCAACAAGATGAAAGCCCTGTGTTGAGTCAGATTTAGGTCATGGACAACTATCATCACATCCACAACAAGTCTGTCCATGCGGCACAGATGAACTCAGCATAATCCCATTGTTTACCGTGCAGAGCAGCAGGATAAAACACTGGGTAAATTACTGCACATATGCGAGAACTTGCACTTGTTCATACAGTTCTTATCACACTGTAACATGCAGCACATCCACTCTGAAAACAAAAAAGCCTCCTGTGTCATCTGTAAAATCTTCCACATCAATGAATATTCAACAAACCTTGATACAGATGCAGCCACAGGGGGATTTTAATGTTGTGCTTCAGACTTGTTTCACTTACTTTTGCCTCTTTCCCATTTTCCCATGAGAGACTGATGCTAAAAGTAAAAAATATTCTCCTTTTTTTCTGCTTTTGGAGGTTGCATGGAGCTCTCTGCTGACTAGTTGGATGCGGAGCTAAAAACAGGGTATTTATGGGTCTTTAAGAGTCTGAGAAGTAAGTCAGTTATTAGGCATTAAAAAAATTTAATGACATGTAATCACAGCATTTTTCATGATGCTTCTTCACCTTTGAAAGATCATTCTTGAGTCCTGTGAATAAGTTGAGAAAAAAGCATAGAGAAATGCATTTTAGAAATAGCTAATGAACAGGAATGTGTATGTGATGGATGAATTCCTGTGGGAAATTATATTTTAAAGTTAAAATATGTAACTTTTCCACATTAAAATGTCTAAAGATGACGAGACTTATGTTATAAATGTTGTTGAGTTGTGTACTTACATTATCCCCAATGTTTTCAAACCTGTGGAGATCTGTGATTTTAATCATGGTAACGGTACGTTTCATTTGGTTGCCTGTCAGTGACGTCATAACCCCTATGTGTATGCGTCAGTGTCATGTTTTTCCTTTTTATCCAGTTTTAAGCCACGTTTTTAAGATAAATATTTTACACTTTGGTCGTTTTTATCTCTGTATTTTAACCCGAGGAAGGATTTTAGTCATCGGACGTATGGATCTTAAGGGGATAGTTGGGGGTTTTTGACGTGGGGTTGTGTGAGGTAGTCATATGTAGTTGGTACATTACCTACAGTAGATTATGTTGTGCATGGTCCCAGTTAGGAAAGCTGACCGGGTGCACCGGCAGAGTAGCAGAGCAATGTTTTGCTGTGCACGAGGCCATTAGAAAAAGCATGTTTTAGACGTCCACAGAAACAATCAAATATCAGTTTAAATGTAACTGCATGTAGAATACTTTCGGCGGGTTATCTTTCTGTGAAAACAGCACTTTTCTTTGGCACTACCGCATTCCTTTGTACAAGTGCACCTACGGAGTGCACTGTATTACGCCGCTTTCTGATTCACTCAGGTGACCTGCGGCTGCGGAGTAATACAGTGCACTCTGCAGGTGCGCTCTGCCACTCTGCCGGTGCCCCGGTCAGCTTTCCTAACTGTGACTGTGCTCATCATAAACTACTGTACCGCCTACATTTGACCAACTCACACAAAACCATGTAAAAAAAAAAACAAAAAACCACAAACTATCCCTTTAAGTTATCAGAGAAAAAAGCCAAGTAAATGTTAGACAGCTCAGCTCCCAGCTCCTCCAAGACGTCCTGTGTCCACTGAACTGCGTCAGTGAATCACTGACTTTAAATGTGAAACTGCTTTATTCAGAGTTTCTACTGGTTTTAATCCCCTGGTCTGTTTGTTCAGGAGAGGAGGAGACCTCTGTGGATAATTCAGCTCCAGGTAAAAACCTCCTGAACGACACTGAAGGAATCCAAACTGGGATGGCAATGATGGTGAAGACAACAACTCCCATGATCCCATGCTGCTTCACAACATCACCAAACGGCATCTTTTCTTTTTGTTTTGATTGAGAGACTCCTAGTGGCAGAAGTTACAGAGTGTGCATTTAAGTTTAGTAAACGTGATCAGTGCTACACAGTACAAGACCAATATATTATATTGTGAAGACAGATGGACCTAAATGTCTGTGTCACAAAAGCAGATCATGTAAAGAAACTTGAAAGATGTGTACCAGTCTGTACTGTAAGAGTCCAGCATCATTCAGACTGCTCTCTGTGAATTCTGTGTATCTGATGATCACATTCATGTCGGCACAAAGAGAGAAAGAGAAAGAGAAAGAGAAATGAATGAAAGCAGGGGAAAGGGCGAAAAATGGAGTTGACTGTGGGGCTGTAGCGTCAATAATGGCTTCATTAACATCACACTATGAGGGATTTTAATCTAACTTGCCCCTGGCAACTCAGTACAACACACACAGACCCACACACACACACACACACACACACTGTAATTTTGGAGATCTTATTAGAGAACAGAGTTTCCATTTGAAAAGGAAATCAATCTAA